GACTCGTCGTGCGTCGCGTTGTCGCTGCGCTGCGCGCGCGCTGCCTGTTGGGCGATAGCCAAGAGGAGTGCGCATTGGGCCTATGTGCGCCCTGCAGCAGGGGGCGAGCAGGCAACGAATCGCGCCCTGGAGAACCCGCAGCGAGCAGCCCCAAACTTGCGCGACAATCCCCGATAAGGCGGGCAACGCAAATGCCCGGCCCCCTTTGCAGCCCCGCTCTTTCCTGCGCGCGCGCCCGCCCCCCCCCCCCAGCTCCGGCAACAAAATTGCCCTTGGCTCGGGGCGATCTGCCGGCGCCGACGACGCGGGCGCCGGGTCCAGCGGCTGCCTGACATGGCCGGCTAAACCCGCGAGCGAGTGCAGTGGAGGCGACGCGTCTTGTTCCTTCTCTTTCATGGGCGGTCGCAACGTAATCGCGCTCAGCTCGGGGCCCTGCGTCGTCGACGCGGATGCGAGTGTCGCGTCGAGCGCCTGCGCGACTTCAACGGCCACCTCCGCAGGCGGGTGCTGTGGCGACGAGGGCGCTCTGAGACTGTAACGTTGTAGTTCGCACCAACTCGGGAAAGAAGAGGCGGGGGGCGCCGTCCTCCTTGGTCTCGTGCTGGGTGCGGCAGCCGCGCCTGTGTTCCTGCGCCGGCGGCAGCGGCGGCTGGGCAGGGTTGGCCCCGCCGGTCCACGCGGACGCGGGACCCACCTAAACGAGGAGCATCATCAACGCAGACGCAAAGCGGATGGCAGAGCGGGAAGTCGTCGATGACGATGTAGAACGACGGCTGGGGGCACGGCGGCGTGCCGCGCAGGCCATGGCGGCGGTTGGTGGCGCGAGATGCTCCGCCACCAACTAGGCATGTAGAACCAAGGGCGACGGGGGGACCTTTCGGCGAAGCCTCGTAAACCGACTGGGCCGAAACACGCCTGCAAAGCCGGCGCGGAGGGTAGGAGGATCGATAATCAACCGTCGACGCGGCCGCCGCGGGCCCGCCCCCGCGCCCGCGGCGCGGGCTCTGACGCCTTCAGGTAGGCACCCTCCAAGGGGTCGCGAGGGACGCATGCCCCTGCAACCCCGCTGCCGACCCAGGGCATACATCTATATACATTTATATATACATATATATATATATATATATATATATATATATATATATATATATATATATATCACCTGAGCTCATCGACGTGGACGTCGCTCTTCACGTCGGTGCCCTGCTATGACCCTTGATATTCGGACACCGTTGGGTGGCGTGTGCCGTCGGGGAAGCGCTGCCCAGCCATTGGTGGTAGACCCAACCGCGGCCACGGCCTCTTCAGCGCAGTCTCCCCGCTGCGCGTGGTCACCTTCTCCCTGCGGGCGTCGGCCAGCAGATTGGGCCTCCCGCGTGATCATTGCGTGAAGCCACAAGCGCGCACTTCCAGCACCAGAACTGCTCATGCGAGACCGCCACATGGTTGCGGGGGTGGATCACCTTGTCGCACACCTCAATTATGAAATTGTTCTGGACAGGATCTGCGTGTCCATGGTCAGCGCGATGAGTCTGGTATTGCCTTCCAATGCATGCGGTCGCTTTCATCCAGTCGATGACGCTGTACTTGCCAGGAGACTCCCAACACTCATTGCATACCCACTACCCTTTCTTTCAGACCATGTTGTGGCCCGTTTATGTTTCCACCTGGCTGCGGCGCTGTCGGACGTTGTGCGGCGGGGTCGGCGGCTTCCTCTCGTGCTTGGTCACGTCCCCATCCTTGCAGATCCCGTGTGTGATGGCCGCCGCTCTCCTTTGAACCCTGCTTAGAAGAACTTGTGTCTCCGCCAGCTGCTGCACCTCCTGCTTGATGTATAGAGAAGCCTCTTGTGCTCCACGCTGCGCCATTGAATTTACAATCTCATCCCCAAGACAATTATCCAGTGGCTGTACAGCTTTAGCCAACGACTCCTCGTTCAGGTGCGACAAACACTTGATGACTTGTATTCCAGTTCTTGTCCAGGTCGTCGTCGGAGAACTTGCCCAATAAGTTGCCAATAGCCCATCAGCTTGCCCTGTGGACGGTGGTCGTACTATTGCACCCATCCGTTGCGCACCTGCTGGCAATCCGTGCATCTGGTGATGGGGCCCGGTGTGAGCAAGAAGGGCACAGAAGAGACGTGCATGCTCAACAACTGGTACCGCTTGTTTTCCGCTATGGTGCCGTAGTAACCCACCTGATGTGTGCCCTCGATCTGCCCTGCTCCGTCAATGACATCGATTCGATCGCTAAACCCCTGCATCCGCTGAGTCGTGCTACTGACATCGGGTCGAAACTTCACCATCAGGTCGATACCCTCTGCCCTTGGTTTGGGTGAGCAGTGCGTGCCTGTGGCCCCTACAAATATTTCACTGCCACCAATCACCCCCTCGTCCACCAAAGGACGCACAAGGCAATGTCGAGAAAGGTCGAGGCTTCGCTCCTGTAGGAAGAGGAGGAGGAGCAGGAGAGGAGGATATGGCTACAACCGTCAGGAGCACCAATCTGGGATGTGCAACTTCAGCCTGATCATATCAAGCTGCTCGAGGGCGTTTTCAAGCGGCGGGGCAAGCGCTCGTGGGGGGTTCGAAAGCTCCTCGGCACCCGGCTCGGAGAAATCACTGGGGCCAATGATTATGACGAAATCGCACGTACTTAACTCGCACGGGCTTGACTCGCACGCACTCAACTCGCACGCACTTGACTCGCACCGGCTAAACTCGCACGCGCTTGACTCCTACGGGCTGAATTCGCATGTGCGACGCTAACTTCTACAGATTTGGTGGCCTCTGGCGTGCGAGTCCAATCCGTGCGAGTTCGGCGCGTGCGAGTTCAGCTCCGTATGAGTGCAACTCAGTGCGAACTTATCTCAATGCGAATCGTGTCCGTGCGAATCCAGTCCCGTGCAAGTTAAGTCCGTGCACGTTCAGTGCGAGCGAATTCAATTTTTGGGCGAAGGGGTACTCCCAAACTCCTGATCGAAAAACCAGAAGGACCCTCAGGTGTCGCCCAACTCGTCTCGACCAGCCATCAAAGGCTCGACTATTGCCTTGAAAACTCTCGGAAGCTCAATCATCCAAACTCCACGATCGACGGTCCAACACGCTTTTTAGTTCCATACCTGTTTTCTGGGCTTGTCGCCACGGTTGCGTTCCTTGAGGACTTCTTCACGCTTCTTCGATCCACACTGGCCCATCAGAAATGAACTCCGAAACACTACTCTGCGTATTGGCCCGCTTGTCTGATGCAACTTTGGAGTCCTGAAACGGTGCGGTGACGGACCGTGCGGTGATCTCGAAATCCCCCAAGACCTCACCGCACGGTCCGTCACCGCACGGTTTTGGGACCCTGGAGGCCCCTGTCGTCCGAGACATCCTCGGAGAGGGACTCGAGTCCCAAAACCGTGCGGTGACCCCGAATCCCCACCGTCTCACCACACGGTGTAGTCACCACACCGTTTGGGGCCCCCCGAGCAACATCGCTTGCCTGATGCAGCATCCGGCAAGCGGGCCAATACGCAGCACAATTGAGAAGAAGGGAGGCCTTTGTCTGCTTCGGGGATCTTTCAAATGAGCAGGAGGTGCAGGAGAACAAGGGGAATGATGATGACGACGACGAGGAGGAGGAGGAGGAGGAGGAGGAGGAGCAGGAGGACGTGGGAGGAGGACGACGAGGACGAGCCAAGATTTTGACGATTCAGGCTTTCTTCCGCCTCCTCTGGGGGCCTGCGTCATTGCGGGCTCGATCCGCCCCAGGGGCTGGCCAGGACGCGCTCCAGGTGCGGATGAGGGTTCGGGATTAATGGTATGTAGGAACAGGCCGCTTGCCCGACCCGACGTGACTATCTGAACCATTGGCCATTCGACCCGCCCGTCACTGTTCGGCCGTTGGGTAGGAGTTGTAGTGTTTGGAGTTGTGGGTCGGGTAGGGTTCGGGTCTCAGGGTGCGGGTTAGGGCGTCACTGTGTTAGAGACACTAGTCGGGTGAGTATTTAGGTTGCGGGTTCACGGAGGGGCTAGGGGCTAGGGCGCTTGGTTTAGGATTTGGGTACTGTGGTTCGCGGGTTGGGATTAGGGTGCTAGTGCGTTCGGGAAGGGGTGGGGTGTCAAGGTCATGATGTTAGGGTTAGGGTGTTGCGCATCGGGTGCGGGCGTTTGGCTTCGGGTATTTGGGGACCAGATCCGCTCGCGAAGGTCCGCCCACTCGACCCTACCAGACCGTATCACAAATGTGCCGGCTCGATGGGTCCGGCGCTTTATGTGCTGCCCGCCCAGCTGAGTAGACCACCTGACCGAAAGCTCTAATCGATGAGTCCCATACTTGAATGCCCCGCCCGCCCAGCTCGACTCGCCCGCCAGGGTCCGCCCGCCCGTCCCGTCTGTAGGGTTTGGGCATTGGGCGTAGGGTGCCAGGGTTCGAGTCAGGGTGTCACTGTTTGTTGGCTGCGATTTAAATGCTCGGGTGAGAACTAAGGTGAAGAATTTACGGTAGGGTCAGGCGTCAAGCTGCTCAGGGAAGGGTTGGGGAAGCTGGGCGTCGGCTAGGGTCCGCTAGCACTGAGAAGTATGTGGAAGGGTTCATGAGATGCATGCTGCCATGCTTCGCTTCGTCATGCTGATGCACTGTTCTAGTGATTAGATCAAGTGTCATGCTGTGCCATGCTATCTGAAATATGCATCAATGTTGAGGTCGCCAAGTGTATTAGGTCCTTTGCAAAAGCGCACAAACGTTCACTTTCACGTTGAACCAACTCCTAAATCCTAACCCAGGGGTGCCACAACGGAACTAGCTCTTCCATGAACCGCAAAAAAACCTTTAAGTGCAATTGAAGATGGGGGGACCGGATCATCCGCCAGGCTGGAGGTACGATATGTTGGCAGGGTAATGGAGGGCGTTGTGGGCGAAGTACGGGGAGAGAGGTGTCTGGACTACGACGCAAGTGGTTCCCTGCTTTCGACTCCCAACGAGCACCAGCAAACCGATTGACACACGTGCAGCCATGCTGTTTTACATCGATCGGTCCAACGAACGTGCCTCCCTCCTGCCAAGCCTCCACTCAAGGATCAGATGCGCGCGCGCACCCGCGCATATGGACGATCTGGCGTCTTCGGACCGCGCGGTGGCCATACCTCGAAATGCTCGCAATGCCGCAAGAAATACCCTAACTTATCAGATGAGCCAGCCCGGAACTGTCGCCAGGCACGGCTTACGCTCTCCCTCTGGGCCAAGTCTTCGACAGAGGCATACCCGAAGCTGCCGGCGTCGTCGGCACAGCCGCGGCCAGCCTTTAGCAACTCCAGGATCTCGGCTTCCAAAACATGCACCAGCCTGTCGAACTGCGCGACGCGCTCCTGGCTATCGTCGTCGCGGTCTCCTTCCTGAAGCAAGATCACCACCGCTTTGCCGCCAGGGCCGCCATCCACCTTGAACGCGTGTGGCCGGTGGGATAGGAAGAACTTGAGCTTATCGTGCCACTCCCGCTTCTTGCCCTCCACGCCAGGGCCAGAAGGGCGCACACCCGTTGTAGAGAGCTCCTGCCAAAGCCGCTGCACCCGGGGGTCCGTGCCGACCAGATAGACATCCGCGGCGGGTCCTCGTCCTGCCGGATTCCCAAGCAGCAAACGGCGCACCGCCTCCTCCAACTCAGGGCCTGGATGTGCCGCAGGCCCCGGCGCCCCCTCCAGCGCCTCGGGCTCCAAGCCAGGCTCCACGGGGCCGCCCGTGTAGCCTACCTTCACGGTCAGGCCTGGCCACCGGTGCCCGAGTTGGGCAGCCGCGGCGAGGCAGGAGAGGCAGGGCTCCTCGGTGGCGAACAGCTCCACCTGCCCAGTCCACTCGCCGCTGTGGCTGCCGGCCCTGCTGTGCAGCTCCTGGGCGAGCTTCGACAGGAGAGAAAACTCTGAGTGGTGGCTGCGGTCGCGGCCTGCCAGAGGTACCGCCACGAGGGGACCGCACCCGCCATCGCGAGGTTGCTGCGGCGCCGCCCCCTCCGAGCTGCCCTCCCCACGGCTCGGCGTCCCGTCGCTGGAGCCCCTGTGCCACGCGCAGAGCTCCGTGGCGAAGCGCATCGGAGACATTTGCCCGCTGACTGGTGTAGATGGCTCGAAGCAGGCATCCACTCGCAGCCACGCGCCTTTGGCAGGCCGCCGCCCGCCCTCTGGACCTTCGAGTGCGCGCTGCGCCGCCTCCCAAGCCTGGGAAGGGACGTAGCGGAGCCCGAGGCGATGGAGCGCAAGACGCGTCCAACGGGGCCCCAGCGTGTCCAGCGATCCGCACTGCACGGCGGAGCGCAAGCGGTATGCGGCGCCGCCCTGCACTGCCGCCCGCGCGCGAGCTGCGCGGGCCGCTGCCGCTGCCTCGCGGCGGAGATTCTCGAGGAAGAGCGCGAGCTGCGCATCCCACGGGGCAACCAGCCGCTGCAGCAGCCACGGCGGGCCTTCGTGGCCAGATGGCAAGAGGCGCAACGGCATTGCAACATTCACGGTCCACATCAACTCACGCACAGTGAGTTGGCAGCCTGACGAAGATCTCGCAAGAGCTCCCCGCTCAAGGTCTAGTCCAGGCGCCAGGGCGCCCTCCGGGGCGCTCAAGTCGTGCTGCGCAAGCGCCGCCGTGCCCGCCACGAACACGGCCTCCAGATCGTGATTGGACGACGCACGTATCCTGCTGATCGCCCATAGCATCGTGATGAGGTCTCGGGGGGGAAAGGATGAGAATCTAGGTACAGCTGCACCCACGATGTCAAGCACGTACGATGGCAAGACGGGTGGGTTTACCAGCGCTGTCGCTTCGAGGATGCTCGTGAGCTCGAACGGGTGCAGCTGGCTGCCTCGAGCTCCGTGGAGATCACGCAGTCCCCGCAGCAAGAGCCGGGGGTGCAGCATGTGGCAGCTCGCCATCGCCTTGAGAAGCACCACCACCTCGGACGCCTTGAGCCGCTCCAGCCCCAGCTTGCAGCACTGCCGCGAGCCCCACGCCATCCATCGCTCAATGGCCTGTTTGCTCTCTGTGTCCAACACCGCGTGCAACCTCGCCAAGGAGGAGGCAGCTGTGGTGAGGGCAAGCGGAGTCTTGTCCTCGAGCTGCGGCGAGGGAGGACAGAGTGCCTGAACGAGGCGCTTCATGAGCTTGTGCGGGTACTCCGCCGCGGTCCACGCAGAGCTTGCGGCCTTGGAATATGCCCAAAGCAGGTTCGCATGGCTATGTGCGCTCTGCCCATCTTCCTGGCTACAAACTTCCACCCGCTTGATCGCGTACCTGAGCATCTCGCGCGTAACCTTGTGCTCGGGCAGGGCACGAACAAAAGACCAGCAAAGACTGGCGACGCCTTGCATGCTGAATCCCTCCCAACGCATGCGCCAGCCTCCCTTGGTACCCCGGCCACGCAAGTGCACGTACTTCACGATCTCAGCGAACAAGAATTCGTGTGACTTCCTCGCTCCTTCGCCTTCCACGCCCAGGCGAGCTACGGCCCAAGCGGCGCGTGCAATGTGGTGCGGGTCGGCCTCTGGCAGCAGTAGGATCATACGGTTGCAGGCTGCGTCGAGAAACGCTGTCTCTTCCCAGGCGGCGAGGGTGGAATACGCCCAGAGAGCGCTCGTCACTCCGTGGGCGCCGAGCCCCGGAAGAGACGAAGCTAAGACAGGAGTCAGTACGGCCTGTAAGTCGTCGCTGGGCGCTGAGGCCTTCGCCACCGCCCACAGGATGTTGGCCACTGCCTGCGGTGCATGCGGCCCGTCGTGCCGCGCGAACGCGCTGGCCACGGCCGCGATCCACTGGGCTGGCTGACACTCTGGCGGCCCACGGCGAAGGGTCGCGACCGCCCACGCCATGTTGCTGAGGTCCCACGGCGTGCACTCCGCGAGCACATGCTCCTGCTGCACGGCAGCCGCGGCGCCCTCGACGAGGCCTCTGTGGTGCAGCCAGCGCGCCGTGGCGGCCGCCCACAGGCAGCGAGCCGCATCGCTTGGCAGCAAGCTGTCCACAGCGCGACTGGTGCCGGCAGCCGTGGCCGCTCCAGCAGAGCCAATACTGTCCGCGGCCGCCCCCAGGACCGGCTCAGTGGCAGCTGCGCGGCAGCGCGCGGTGGCCCAGAGCAGGGCAGCCCAGTCGGACTGCTGCAGCTCTGGGCGGCCCTCGTCAGCTGAAGCCACCAACTGGCGCAATACACCCTCCACGCGATGCCGGCGCTGTTCGCGCCAGGGGGCGTCAAGCTGCGAAGAAGAACCGCTGAGGGGCCCCTCGCTGCGTGCAAGCACCAGCGCAGCCCGCACCAACATCTCTGGGCCGAGCCGCCGCAAAACTTTCCGCCAATGATCCGCGAGCACGGCCCGCAACTCTGGCCTGACAACCCGCGCGGGCATCCGTCAGGAGGACGACGAGCCAGCTCGGCGAGGTGCATGGCCGTTCTTGATGGGACTGCTGCTGGCGGACAGCTGCCGCACGGGTGGGGACCGCCACTCTGCCCCTTGTCCCCCACGCCGCGAAAAACCGCCGCGGCCTGCAAGCTCAGCGCAAATGGGTTGCGCCGCACAGCCTGAGCCAGAGGCGGCCTCGGGATAGAATGGAACATTGCATTTGCAAAAGCCTGCCTGGCCTCCTGCTGTGGCCAAACCTTATCCAAGGCACTCCCTCTGGCGTTCCTGTCCCTGTCGCTCTAGACACACTCGTTGCTGTCTGTTCACCCTGAAGACATTTACCATTACACCGGCACGGAGACCATACACACCAACGCTGCGTAATTCGCCGGCCCAACGGGCCAGGGCGTGCTAAGATCTCCGGTACCTGGTTAACAGTATTTCTAGTTCGCGCGCGCGGGGCGGCCCCTGGGGGTCCCCGGACGAAAAGTACCCCGGCAAGGTCGGGTCAGAGATGCCGGAGCCCTGTTACAGGGCCCCAGGACGGGCCAAGAGGTCCCCAAGAAGCCTCCAAGACGGTCCAAGAGGGCCCCGAGACGGCCAAAGATCGCCCGAAGACGCCCAACAGGGCCCCAAGACAGCCCAAGAGGCCTCCAAGACGCCCCAAGGGCCTTCCAAGAGGCCTCCGAAGAGGGCCCCAAGAGGCCAAAATCGTTGATTTTCATTGTTTTTTCCTATGTTTTTTGCGTTCTGGCTTTTTCGGCTTCCGGACGCTCCAAGACGGCCCAAGAGGCCCCCAAGACCGCTCCAAGACGGCCCACGAGGCTCCCAAGACGGCCCCGGAACGGCCCAGGAGGGCCCCCAAGACGGCCCAAGTGCCGCCCAAGACGGACCAAGAGGCCCCAAGACGGGCCCAAGAGGGGCTCAAGAGGGGAACCGAGAACTGAAAAATCGAGCCCTCCGCCCCAGAAGGCGCCCAGGAGGCCCCAAAAAGGCCCCAAGAGGCCCCCAAGAGGCCCCCAAGACGCCCCAAGAGGCGCCCAAGAGGCCCAAAAGAGGCCCCAAGAGGCCCCAAAACGGCCCCCAAGAGGCCCCCAAACTCGGCTAGCCCACAACGGTGCGACAATATGGGCCGGCGGAATGAGCGAAGCGATTAAATAAGACATGATCGGCACGGCACGCCAACTTTTTTGCAGTATGAAAGCAAGCACGGAACGCCACGGTAACTTCTCCGCAGACGCATCACGGAACGGCACGACACGCGGGCACGGCACGGCAAGCCTGTCACATCCCCGAAACCAAGCACGTCACGACATGCGGGCACGATGCGGTCACTTTCTCCCAGTCCCGGAAACAAAAATGACACGGCCGGACACGCGGGCACGGCACGGCAACTACTTCGTACTCTTGAGTCCAAGCACGGCACGGTACGGCAATATTTTCCAATTCCCGGCAGCTTTTCCCCGTTCCAGAAACCAAGCACGGCGCGGCACGGCGCGATGGCACGGCACGGCAACATGTTCTGACTCTCGAAGCCAAGCACGGCACGGCACGGTGCGCGGTCACGGCACGGCAATTTCTCCGCGCTCCGGCGAACTCTCGAAGACAAGCACGGCACGGCGCGGCACGCGGGCACGACACGGCAGCGCAACTGTTTCGCACTCTCGAAACTCAACACGGCGCGGCACGGTACGTCGTGGCCTTGGCACTCTCGAAACCAAGAACGGCATGGCGCGGCATCTGCCTCCAAGTCTCGAAACAAAGCGCGGAACGGCCATGCACACGGGCACGGCACGGCAATTCTTTCGCACATTTGAACCAATCACGGCACGCCACGGCACGGCACGCGGGCACGGCAAGGCAACTGATCGCACGTTCGAAACCAAGCGCGACACGATAGGCGGGCACAGTACGGCAACTTCGATGCATTCGCAGAGCCAAGTGCGGCACGGCACCGCACGCTGCCGACAATTCTTCACATTCTGAAATGCGGCTCTCAAATTCTTCAAATAACAGAAGCCCCTTACAACATTCGCTGTTTGGGTACTTAACGGTCGTCACCTGGTGGAAAGGGCGCGAGAAACGGTAACGCATGGGTGGGTTGGGGTAAGGGCCAACGAAGACACCAAAGGCCTGCGCGCACCAAAACCACCCGCACTCCTCGCACACGAACGACCACACACACGCGCTCGACGCCCAAGACCTGTGCACACTACAGTGCACCCGTGAGCTGTACAACACCCTGCGAGCATGTCAGCGCGGCCATGGACACCACAATCTGCTTGCCACCACCTTGCGGCGAGGGAAGCCCGTCCCTGCCAATACCGCAACATCCTGCGATCACCACAACACGCGCAACACATTACCGGACAGGTATCACAATGGCCTGCGAGCACCACAACGTGACTACGAGCATCGCAGAAACCTTCTGTGTCTCTCTCTTCATTAGTCGTCGTCGCCCTCCTCCTCCACACTCGTCGTCGTCGTAACCTCTTCCTCGTCGTCGTCGTCCTTGTCGGCGTCGTCCTTGTCGTCGTCGTTTCTACTCCTCGTCGGCGTCGCCTTCCTTCTCTTTCCTCGTCGTCGACGTCGTTGCCGTCGTCGACCTCCCTCCACATCTTTCCTCCCTCCTCCTCCTCCTCCGTCCTCCTTCCTCGTTGTCATCTTCCCGCTCATCCTCCCTCCTCCTCCTCTTCCTTCTCCATCCTCGTCGTCGTCGTCCCCCTCATCTTCCCCCTTCCTGTTCATCCTCATCCTCACTCCTCCTCCTCCTCCTTATGCGGCCCCTCACCTCATCCCTCATTCCCCAATCCTTGTTCTTTATAGACATCTCCCCTCTGCCGCATCCACAGACGTGTCGATAGTGCGGGCCGGGCGATACTTCCTCATGATCCTGAGGCTTGAAACTTGCAGCAGTTTCACAGACGGAGGGCGGCTGGTTTTCAACATGTGTTTCTGGCCTTAGCGCCGCGCGCACTCATCTTGAAGCATTGATTGCAGCAATTTCAAAGTCGAAGGGCGGCTCGTTTTCACAATGCGGCTCTCGTCTGAACGCCGCGCACATTCGTCTTGAACAACTGCAACAATTTCAAAGATGCTGGGCGGTTCCTTTCAACATGCCGGTCTCGCCTTAGCACCGCGCGCATTCGTGTCAAAAGCTTGGAGCCCCTGGGCAAGGTTTTCTAGCACGATTTAGGACTGCCAGGACACAATCCTAACGTTGATTCGCGATGTTGGAATCCCAATAATGGTGTTCCTGCCGCAAATTCATATTGACAAGACGTAGCGGTTTCGTTGATACGCGGCGTTAAAGTCCCAAGAGCGGTGTTTTGGCACGGCTGTGGATTCTCAGACAATTTTCTTCCAGTGAGGCAACTCCCGCAATGACAACTGTTTTTGGGATGGGCGATGGAAAAGAACTTGGAGGGAAGGTTTATTGCAATCTCGTTGATGCGTGCTAGGGGTTACACTGGTCGATGACCTCTTCCTCATCTTGCTCCCCCGTTCCCTGTTAACATCACAAAAACTTGCGGACACCGCAGCACGTCCGTGAAAACCGCAGAGAAGCCAGACCCCAAAAATACCACAATGACCTGACCACGCCACGCGAATAGAACGCCGGATCTTGTGGGAACCCCAACCGCCCGCGAACGGTGCGGGATGTCTGCGAACACCACCCATAAACCTGCGAGTGTCACAATAGCCTGCGAACGACACATCATGCGAACGCCACGGCCTGCCTGTAAACACATGCCAGCACCACGACACGCTTTGAGCATCACGGCATGCCTATCGAAGTGGGGGGGGAGTTCGCCCACCTCCACCCCCCCAACGTGCGATCGTTACTGTCACGCTGGGGGGTGGGGGGTGTCGGGCGGGCAATGGGCGTTACGCGCCAGATGATAAATTATCCCGGCAAAGCAACCTAACAGCGATGTGTAGGAGCATATCTGGAAGCATCCCCCTTAAGATTCAGATGATAATCCAGTTGTAGAGTTCTGCTGTTCTCGCAGTCGTAGTCGCATTCGCGATGACAGTCGCAGTGGCCTGCAGCCTCAGCCTCAGCCTGCCTCAGCATCAGCCTCAGCCTCAGCTTCAGCCTGCCTCAGCCTCAGCCTCAGCCTGCTCCTGCTCAGCCTCAGTCTGCCTCAGCCTCGGCCTCAGCCTCAGCCTGCCTCAGCCTCAGCCTGCCTCAGCCTCAGCCTCAGCCTCAGCCTCAGCCTCAGCCTGCCTGCCTCAGCCTCAGCCTCAGCCTCAGCCTCAGCCTCAGCCTCAGCCTCAGCCTGCTCAGCCTCAGCCTCAGCCTCAGCCTCAGCCTCAGCCTCAGCCTGCCTCAGCCTCAGCCTCAGCCTCAGCCTCAGCCTCAGCCTCAGCCTGCTTCAGCCTCAGCCTCAGTCTGCCTTCAGCCTCGGCCTCGGCCTCGGCCTCAGCCTCAGCCTGCATGAGCCTCAGCCTCAGCCTCAGCCTGGCTCAGCATCAGCCTGCCTCAGCCTCAGCCTCAGCCTGCCTCAGCCTCAGCCTCAGCCTGCTTCAGCCTCAGCCTCAGTCTGCCTTCAGCCTCGGCCTCAGCCTCAGCCTGCCTCAGCCTCAGCCTGCATCAGCCTCAGCCTCAGCCTCAGCCTGCCTCAGCATCAGCCTGCCTCAGCCTCAGCCTCAGCCTGCCTCAGCCTCAGCCTCAGCCTGCTTCAGCCTCAGCCTCAGTCTGCCTTCAGCCTCGGCCTCAGCCTCAGCCTGCCTCAGCCTCAGCCTGCAGCCTCAGCCTCAGCCTCAGCCTCAGCCTGCCTCAGCCTCAGCCTCAGCCTGCCTCAGCCTCAGCCTCAGCCTCAGCCTGCTTCAGCCTCAGCCTCAGTCTGCCTTCAGCCTCGGCCTCAGCTCAGCCTGCCTCAGCCTCAGCCTGCATCAGCCTCAGCCTCAGCCTCAGCCTGCCTCAGCATCAGCCTGCCTCAGCCTCAGCCTCAGCCTGCCTCAGCCTCAGCCTCAGCCTGCTTCAGCCTCAGCCTCAGTCTGCCTTCAGCCTCGGCCTCAGCCTCAGCCTGCCTCAGCCTCAGCCTGCATCAGCCTCAGCCTCAGCCTCAGCCTGCCTCAGCATCAGCCTGCCTCAGCCTCAGCCTCAGCCTGCCTCAGCCTCAGCCTCAGCCTGCTTCAGCCTCAGCCTCAGTCTGCCTTCAGCCTCGGCCTCAGCCTCAGCCTGCCTCAGCCTCAGCCTGCTCAGCCTCAGCCTCAGCCTGCCTCAGCCTCAGCCTCAGCCTCAGCCTCAGCCTCAGCCTCA